TGGAATTGTGCTCGGAAACGTACTGGGAGATAATGTAGGTCTTTCGAGACCGGTGTTATATGGTCTCGGCAGCCACCCCCAGTCACCAGTTTAGCTGCTGCATTCTGGATTAGTTGTAGTTTCTGGGTGACCTTCAAAGGTAGCCCCACGTAGAGCGCATTGCAGTAGTCCAATGGGGAAGCCTGAGTCAACAGCACTCTCCTTATTTGTGATTCCCAGCAAGGGCTATTGCTTTAGTCTGAGTGGATACAGCAACCCAGATACAGGGCCAGATTCAGTTAAACCATTCCTGTAGCAGAAACCAGCACAATGACTCCCACTAGCAGAACAGGGATTTCCCTCCCTCTCCTGCCCCTGCTGTCTCCCCAAAATCTGCTCTGGAGCTTTTGGGGAACGCCCAGATCAGCATATACAGTGGGAGGAGTGAGGAGGTTATTCCACTGGGCAATCAGAAATGCTTGAATTGACGGAATAACTGAATTTCACCCCTAGTTCTCCAGATCCTTTCTGGATCCTTATTGACACGGGATGTTCCGAAAGGTGCTGTGAAGGGGGAACCACAGAATCTGGGGCTAGATTTGGAGTTGTTGTAAATAAAAATATGCCCTTTTCCCTTATGGGGTATCCAAGAGCCCATATAGAGTCCTTACATAGGTTCCCTATTGGTAGGAGAGAATAACAGAGGCCAACCAGAGAATATTGAGAAGCAAAGCAGCTAGTAAGCTTGATCTTTATTGATCTGTTGCAACAGGGTCCTCACTCACCACACGCAGGAGAGAGGAGGGACCCAGAAAAATGCTGTGCAAGGCCTTATAAAGACTTTTGAAATTCCCATCCTGTAGATCAAGACCACCCCCAGAAACATTATGCATACATCACAGAAGGGGTGTAACCTAAGACCACCCCTCAGATACATCCCACCTACATCACAGAAATTTAAATGTTGTTTTTCTCTTGTCCTTGTTTATCTCCTGTCTGGCAGGTTACTTGACTGGATTTCCTGGGGAGCCTGGCCATTCTTTTGTAGTGGTAAAATACTTATTTCCTGGGCCAGGTCACAGGCTCACACCTTATTCATATCTTAAATGTGTCCTTAAGACAGGATTTGTGAGGAAAGAGACAATGGGGAGACTTTTCCAGTTTGACTTTGCAGAGAAAACATTTGGTCAGTTTAGGAATCAAAATGGTTCCAGGTTGGCCTTCCTGTGCTGATCTATGTATGTGCTTGGTTGGTACACTTGTGAACATTACCATATATCTAAGACCATAATATTCCTATCACATTATATCTTGAGAAATGATTATCCATGCAAAAAAAGTGCAAAACTGCTTTAAAGGGGTCTGAAGGTTTGCATGTGTCTGCAACGTTTGTCTGTGACTGAGAGTGTGTTGCCCCCTCTGGCCACAGGATATTGGTTGCTGTTAGGCTCGCTCAGGCAGCAGCTGATCTCCCCTGACTAGGCAAAGCTGGCAGCTGCCAGAGCAAACAACTGAACAACTGCTCTCGAAAGACAGCCACAGCTGCGGAGGAAGGTGGGGCAAGTCCTTCTCCTGCCTAAGAATGAGGGACAAGCTGACAGTAAAGGAAGCCCTTCCTGTCTTGGCCAGCTGCCTCGACTGCTGCGGAATTTGCTCCCACAGTGATGGCCACCAACTTGGATGGCTTTCAAAAGAGGATTAGATAAAGGAATGAAGGGAAAGGCTGTCAGTGGCTACTACCCACAATGGCTGTGCACCATCGCTCCTATCAGAGGCAGCATGCTGGGACTCACCAGTGCAGAGCAGGAGGAGGCGTTTGGCTTTGATATCCTGTTTTATCACTATCCTAAGGAGTCTCAAAGGGACGCGGGTGGCGCTGTGGGTTAAACCATAGAGCCTAGGACTTGCCGATCAGAAGGTCGGCTGTTCGAATCCCCGCGATGGAGTGAGCTCCTGCGGGGATTTGAACCACTGACCTTCTGATCGGCAAGTCCTAGGCTTCCGGGTCATGTGGCCAGCATGACTAAGCCACTTCCGGCGAACCAGAGTAGCGCATGGAAACGCCGTTTACCTTCCCGCTGGAGCGGTACCTATTTATCTACTTGCACTGGCATGCTTTCGAACTGCTAGGTGGGCAGGAGCAGGGACCAAGCAACGGGAGCTCACCTCGTCGCGGGGATTCGAACCGCCAACCTTCTGATCGGCAAGTCCTAGGCTCTGTGCTTTAACCCACAGCGCCACCCGCATCCCAATGCAATGGTACTGTGTGAGGTGCAATGGTACTGTAGGATAAATCCCCACCAATAATACTGACAGGAGCTGAGAACATGCATGCAACAGCCGCACACATTTTCACGGCACCAGCTGACTGCTCCCCATGCCTCTCCAAAGCCCATCGCCATCTCACGAAACAACCACCCACCTTCCCAGCCTTTGCAAACTCTCAGCCATGACTTTGATTTGCTACATGACATTTGCTACAATTTTCCGACCCGTTTTCCAGAAAAGTAGTTCCACGAGACCAGGCTGATTAGCCTCCGGGCAAGTAGCTCCCTGTTCGGTTTATTATAAATCTCGGGCCTCAGATTACATCATGCCCGAAAATTGAAACGCAAGTCAGATGGTTAAGGCATCAGCCGCGGCGGCTCTGTGGAGACTCAACAATGCAAGCCTTCCCCAAATGACCCATCGCGACCTTCCCTGGGCTGATAATAAAAAAAAGTGACATCATGTGCAAATGAGTTTTAAATGCAAACCAGGTGCATGGCCCAGGAGTATTATGGGCCACAGAGGAAGCTGACAACAGCCCGGGAGCTGGGCTCACCGCCTTCAGTATTCAGAAAAGGCTGCCACCAGCCTTGATTTGAAGTCAAGTTCCGATGGATGCGGTTTCCCCCCTTGAAATCCTATGAATTATGGTGCACCATTTGGACATGCTGCTTGGATGTGAAAAAAGCTCTCTGCATGTAGAAAGCCAGCCTGTCAGGGTGAAGGGCAAAAAAAATAAAATGTGGTTGTAAAATTCCGAGACAGTAAGAGTGGGCTGTGCAGTGTCCCACTTCAGGCTGCAGGTGGGGGATGCCCCCATTTTGGGATGTTCCTCCACGTTGCAAAAACAAAATCCCTGCAAATAAAAAGCTAGCACATTAAGGAGATGTCCCTATGGCAGTTTCATACCTGCAGGGAGGTGTGTTTTGCTTTAGAAGCAGAACCACAGACGAGTTAAAAAGCCTGGTTCCTCAACTTGCCGTGTGACGTTAAGTAGCCCATTCTGCAGTCTCTGGCACCCCTTTTCCATCTCAGTGGAGCTCAGCAACAGGTAGGGTTGAAATATTGTCACACCTGGCTGTCAGCTGCATTTGGCAGGGGAGGGACCTTGACTCATTGGAAGACCACTTGCAAAAGCTCCCAGGTTTAATCTCAGCTAACATCTCCACAAGGGACGCGGGTGGAGCTGTGGGTAAAAGCCTCAGTGCCTAGGGCTTGCCGATCGAAAGGTCAGCGGTTCGAATCCCCACGGCGCGGTGCGCTCCCGTTGCTCGGTCCCAGCGCCTGCCAACCTAGCAGTTCGAAAGCACATCAAAGTGCAAGTAGATAAATAGGGACCGCTTACTAGTGGGAAGGTAAACGGCGTTTCTGTGTGCGGCTCTGGCTCGCCAGAGCAGCAATGTCACGCTGGCCACGTGACCCGGAAGTGTCTCCGGACAGCGCTGGCTCCCGGCCTCTTAAGCGAGATGGGCGCACAACCCTAGAGTCTGTCAAGACTGGCCCGTACGGGCAGGGGTACCTTTACCTTTAACATCTCCACATAAAAACAAGAATTATAGGGTGGCAAATAATAGAAATGAACCCGCTTGCTGGACCAAGACAGAGTAGGGAAGGCTGGACTCCATGGACACAAAGGCAGCTGCCCATATGCCTACGGCAGGTGGAAGATGAATGCACTTAGGCCAGGCCTGGGGAGCCTGTGGCCCTCCAGAATTTGTAGGACCACACCTTCCATCATGCATGGCAATTCTGGCTAGGGCTGATGGGCACTGTAGTCTAGCAAATGCCTGGAGCACCCAGCTACAAAAGCTTGCAATTCACCTGGGAGGTGTGCTGTTGTTTTTTGCACAGTATACGTGAAAGTGTCAAGTCCCACTGTTGCGAGTGGAGCCAATGGGCAGAGGCAGCGCAAGCAGAACGCCCCCTTCACTTGCAGTCCTAGGGCTTCTATTTAAAAGTGAGGTGCTGTTATGTGCTGAGTTGAATAGGATCCAAAATGCAGCAGTCCGATTGGTCCTAGAACAATAGGATCCAGAATGCAGCAGTCTGGTTGGTCCTAGAAGAATGCAGCAGTATGATTGGTCTGCAGGAGCCACCCAATCCAGCTCCAGGTGGGAGTGAATCCGCAATCTGATTGGCCTACAGGAGAACCCTGGAATTAGCCAATCACGTGCGGCCCATTGTGTAAATAATGTATGTAAAGGAGATATTTTGAGGAAACTTTCATTCCTTGCTACTATGAGCTGAATAAAGAGCATGAAATTCACTCGACTCAGAGTATATTTCAGGTGCCTTTAATTAATTTATTCTAGAACGGGTCAACCTGGAATCTCATAGCACACCATACTATGTGTGCAGCCTGGGATCTCTCCACATCTGTAGGCAATGAAGATAACCTGTAGATCAGAGTATGTCCCCCGCCCCCTGCCCAGCAGCACGATGGAAATTATATTGCTCCCATGAAGGTGTGACTTGCCTCCATCCCATTTAACAGAGTGTGAACTTCAAAGGCTGAGCCTAACCATTGAAACCAGCAGTTTCTAAAAAGCTTGTCTCCCAAGATGCTGCCCATGATTGATTTTCGTTTCCTGGCAGTGCCTTGAAATGGTGGGCTTCCCTACAACGAGGCACTGAGACTATAAAGGAAGCTTCCCAACACTGTGATTTTGAGCCACTTTTACATCCCTGGGTTTGGACATCTAGTTAAGGCTTCTGGTTATGACTGCCAACCCATTCTCCTCCTTTTCTTGCAGGGCCAGGAAGTGTAGGCTGGCGGTTGAGCTTGTACGCCCATTCATGTTTACTCCCGATGTGTTCAGTGGGGCTTACTCCCAGGTAAGTGTGCATCCGGTTGCAGTCTTAGCAACGGGGCAGCCTTCTTCCAATTTTGTTGTTGTTTAGTCACTTAGTCGTGTCTGGCTCTTCGTGACCCCCTGGACCAGAACACACCAGGCACTCCTGTCTTCCACTGCCTCCCGCAGTTTGGTCAAACTCATGTTCGTAGCTTCGAGAACACTGTCCAACCATT